TCTAATGTATTCGATGTGCCGAACAGCTTGCCAGAATCCTGTGCAACCGGCTGTGCGGCCAGGTTGCATCATCAACAACAACAAGAACAACATATTTGTGCCAGAGCTCACGGTAAAAGTGCGTCGTGGAAAATTGAACGCAAATATGGTGTTAAAGGGGGAGGGGGGGGGGGGGGGGGGGGCAGGCCATTTAAAAGTGTTCCATTTGTGGCACGTTTCTTTAGCTCCTTTGAGTGAAACTAGGCAGCTTGGCCAAATGTCTAGAATGATATATACATTTCTTTGGATGCTTTCACTGCGCCGAAGAAGAAGCAGCTGCATTGATATCACATTTGTTTAGCTGCAAATTGTTGCTTGCAATCAGAATCTGCTGTTAACGGTGCTTAAATATTAGCCACGCTTGAAGTCGAAGCTTTCCCAAACTGGTTAACAGGCGAACGGGCATTCTGCCAAAAAAAAAAAACCAGTTGCCAATTGAGCTGTTGCTGGTTATTTAGTTCTTAGCAGAATGTATGCTGTTCAAGTTGCGGTTATACAACAGTTAAATAATTCATATTGCGGCCAGTTCGTTGTCTAAGTCTTTCGTTTTCTTCTATTCTCTTGATTACGCAGCATGCGTATGTGCCGCCGCCTGCGTTTGCTGCCGCTGCCACAGCCACAGCTGCAACTGCAGCTGCAGCTGCTGCTGCTGCTGCTAATTTGCCTCTGGACAGCTGCGGCCATGCATGAGGCGCCGTTGCCGGCGGATGCGGAGGCCCAACCGCAATTAGACTCGACTGCGAATGCGAATGCGGCGCACATACGCAAGAAGCGTCTCGTTTGGATCACGGACGATGGCCGCTTGGCGCTGCCGCCGGGCACCTCGCTGACATTTACGCCGACAATTGCGATGCCTTTGGTGCGACATCCGCCCGAGGGCTTCTTCTCCAATCTGACCATCAGTTTTCCCGTCACGAGTGAGTCGCAAAAGTCTGACCAACAAAATAAAACGTATAAAAAATGATATCAATTTCAGTTGACTTCGACAAGCTCGGCCTGACCGACAATCAGAATCCCCTGGGCGATCTGCCCTTCTTCGCACGCTCCTTTGGCCACAGCGCGGGCCAAATGGTCGGCGAGTACGTGTCCCGTTATCTGCACGTGCAGCGCCGCAAGCGCGATCTGAGCAGCACGCAGGATGACAGCAAACCCTTCAGGGTGGAGGATATGCTGCAGTATCCGGAGCTGCCCGCTGGCCTGAAGCACATCTTCCATGGCGGCGAACGTGTCCTGCTCTATGGCGTCGTCGAGGACTTTCTGGCCACCTTCGGCATGGATGGGAAGGCGTGTCTGTTGCGCACCATTTGCGAGATGCACTCACGCAGCCTGGACAAGTTTGGCGTCTTCGGCGAGATGACCAAGCTGTTTCTAACGTGAGTTATATAATACATATATAATGCTTATACTCTGTTTAGAGCGTGAAATGGGGCATATTGGTTTTGTGCTAGATGCGTCTTGCTGTGCATTCGATCCCAGGACGATTACTGAAAACAGTAAATCTGGATTTCTTGAAAGTCAACGTTTGAAATGCGCTGCTTTAGGCTTACAGTTTTAGAGTCACAAAATGGGTAATCCTCCAACACTGCCAAATCTACCCCAGGCTTCGAGCTGGCGAGTTTATTGGAGATCCCCTCTACCCGCGCCCCGCAAACTCACCAGCAACATTGATATCCGAAATTCACAGTTTGAGAGTCTTTGTATTGGGCTTACAGTCTTAGAGTCAGGAGAGGCAGTTATTCAGATTCTTAAGAGTTACTATCTGCCACAGCTTATGAGCTGGAATAGATCTGTCAAATCCCGCAATTTACATCGGATATTTTCTAGAATTGACAGTTTAAGGGGCATTGCTTTGGTGGTACAGTTTTAGAGTCACCAAAGGAAGGGTCTTTCCGAACTGTCTTCAGCCGTCGGTTCTGATTTTATTTCTCTTTTCGGATAGGGTAACCAAATCGCCGTTTGCGGAGCTAATACCCGAGTATGTGCGCGCCCAGCGCGTGGGCGAGGGCAAACAGGCGCCGGGCGAATGTTTTCCCTACTACAAGGCCTGCCCCAAGAGCATATTCAAGGCGCTGGCCAACAAATACAGCGCACAGGCGGCAACGACGACAACGAGAGACAAAACAACGACGACAACGACGACGACCCGGCCTGTGGGGGAGTATCAGGAGCAGCAGGCGGTGCTGTTGCCCAACAGCCCAGAGCAGGATCAGGAGCAGCAACTGGACCACCTGGAGCTCAATGGCAATGCGGTCTACATGTGAAAATCGCGCCAACTCGTCTAGTTTAAGCCGAATAATATGAGTGCACATTGAAAGTCATTTGCTTGTAATTAACATACACTAATTTATTTTATTTATTATTATTATTATTATTGCTTATTCTGCTGTAACTATTTATTGTTAGCTGTAGGCGTTGTTAACTTTCTAGCTGTTAGCGTATCATTTGTTATAGCCTGTAAATAAACAAATTTGTGGCATATTTACGCAAGAACGTTGCCAAGTGCAATATCGAAATACACCCCCAATAAATATATATATATATATATAGAGGAAAATGTATATATATATGTGAATTCCAGCTGACAAATGTGTTTGCTCAGCTGTTGCGCCAAAGTTATATGTATATAAACAAAAATCGAGACAATTGTTTGTGCCACACGGCGTATACATAATCTGAGAGCCGTTCTAGTCTTTCAATCTGTGTGCAGGTGTGCGTGTGAAGAATTCGAAATGCGATGCGCCTTATGTTCGTTCAGATCAGCCCAAACATATGCTTCAAGTGCTCCATGTGTATATAGTTCATATAATAGAACATCGAGACGTTGCGTGCAATCGTGTCCAGTTTCAGCGCCTCCTGCATCGAATGCTGCTGGCAGCCGCCGAAGATGAGCAGCTTCTGCATCGCATCGTTGTAGATGATCTGTGTGTGTATGTTGAGTAGCTGCAATAAAGGACGAAGAAAGGCTAATCAACTGAAGGCAAGCAAAGGTGAGTTGCTGTGGGGCGTGCTCGACTAGCAGATACTCTAAGCCCAGCGCTAAGCTGGCAATGCTCAGTTTCTTCTTAGTTTGAGTTATGCCTAAAGGCCTTAATTATCGCTATTTTCCTGAAATCGATATTTATCGTTATTCTGAAAATAATCGTTCGGGTTATAAGCACCTAATGCATTGGAGATGCTTCCAATTCACTTCAATATACCCCTCATTGCACTTGTTACAGGGTATTTTGATAAAAATGCGTCTTTTTTTCAATTTCAGAAAGAACTTGGGAATAAGTTCAAAAAGTGAAATGTTTCCTTTATATTTTAAAAAACTTTATTATCGTTATTATCTAAAAAATCGATATTTATCGCAATTATGAAAATGGAAAAAAAATATCGAAAAAATACTGATAAGCTAGTTCCGAATTTTACATAGAAGTACATATAATTAAAATGTCAAGTCTCTAGCTCTTTTAATCTCCAAGATATAGTCGGACGAACGGAAGGACATGGGTAGATCTTCTCAGTTCGTAATTCGGGATAGCTGTACCTTATTGGATGTGCTTCAATATACCCCCTTGCACTGGCTACAGGGTATTCCACGTCATTTGCCCACTCACCTCCATAAAGAGCGTGGCCAGCGATAGATTGCAATCGCAGCTCATGCTATAGCGCAGGCGAAAAAAGTGCAGACCCTTGAGGACAAATATATCCGAAATATCTGGTATATTGTTGCCAATGCCGATCTTGACCAGCAGGCGCAGGACATTGCGATATTTGACCATGCGCTCATCCCGTATTAACTGCATGCGCGGCACATACGGACAGAAGCTGCGATGATCGTACTGCGGATAGACTTGGAGCAGGGCCAGCCAGTAGTAGACATTGTTGCAGTGCGCCCAGGCGGGGCCGGAGGGTACGAATGTGGGCAGCGGAAAGTCGGCGAACTTGAATTGGAGCGCCGGCAGAAAGACAAAGGATATGATGCTGGGCATGCCCGATTCGCGTTTCTCGCAGGCCAATATCTCATGGACAAAGCCCTGATCCCCGATCTCGTGCGTGCGATAGCTCAGCTTGTACTGCACCCCGCTGTCGCAGTAGATGCACTTCAGCTGGTTGATGGCATCGCGCAGATTGCCGCGCAGCAGCAGCTGAACGTTCTCCGGATTGACGTAGCCCTTGGTGATCATCGGGTGTGTGGTGGGCGCGTACAGGTTTATATAGCCGGGCTGTGTGGTATTGAAGATGGGCGTTACAGGGAATGGCATATAGAAGCGCAGATATTGCTCAAAGTCCAGAGGCACATCGATTTTGGAGCCTCTGTAGAAGGTGGCGGTGGATAGCAGGTGCTCCAGCACAAATTTGTAAATCCAGTCCTTTTTGCACATAACCTCACTTATCCGTTTGCAGATGAACTCCGCATCCCGCAGCCAGCCGTCATCGCATTCCTCTATCTCCATTAAATCGGAGACCCATTTGATGCCCTCTTGAAAGTGGGAATAGCCCTCCGGCAGAAACGTGGGCGAGCTTCTGCCACTGATGGAGTCATCGCCTTTCGCAATCTTCAGATCGCTCATATTATAGAAAGCTGTCTGCAGCCCGACGCGTTCACTTTGCACTAAACTTGATGATCGTAAATAGTAATTGCTGTGGCTTGCGCTTTGGTTAATATGATATTGCTGGTTATTTGTGCATGCGCATTGATTTAGCGCTCGACCAATGGGCAGCACTTGGGCCTATCGATACTGTGTATACATAGTCTTAATATGCTTAAGAGGTAAACAAATGCGCTGGCGAACCTATCAAATGTCAATGCCAGATAAACTCCAACTTAATCGATTTCATTTTGGCGCTCAGCTTACGCGTGTTTTACAACACTGCCGCTGCTGCCACTGCGTGTCAGCCTAACTTGCGATAGTATCGATGACAGCGGCGTATCGATAACACGCGCACAGCTGATTGGTTTATCACGCTTGCGGACCTGAAGGTGCTTTTTTGTTTTCTGATTAAGTTATTTACAAAGTTAGCACAAACATAAAAACACCAGGTGGAATTACGTGTCGCACAAATGTGTGAGCAGGGCGACAGCAAACAGTAAAACGCTTGTTGCAGGTAAGCCAAACGGACGCCCAAAAGACAGCGTCAGCGTGGTGCAAAAACCGAGGCAAATGGCAAAAGCGACGCCAACGCCAATGCCAAACCCGGCCAAACGCAAATTGGAATAACAAAAACAACAACATTAGACTGAGTCAGAGTCGTCAGGCCATTGTTTGATAATGATTGAATTAGGTATTATCACGACCTCGCTGCGACAGATGATTGCCAGGCGAAAGCGGCCGGCGTTGCCGCCGCTTCTCTTGTTGTTGTTGTTGTTGTTAATATCATGCGGACGTGGCGCAATATAGTGTAATCTTTTCTGGCGCCCTGATTATTCAGCACATTTGTTTGTTTGATTTGGCATGTAACAGGTAACACATCGCATTGTTGGCATGGACGACCTGGACAACACGACCGGCACGACGCCCGCGCCGCCCGCCGCAGATGCGACTGCGACTGGGTCACAGAGCGAAAACTCAGAGGATGAGGACTATTTGGATAATAGCATTGAGCTGCGCGGCTATTTGAGCAAATGGACCAATTACATATATGGCTGGCAGCCGCGCTATATTGTGCTCAAGGATGGCACGCTCTCCTACTACAAATCCGAATCGGAGTCGGACTTTGGTTGCCGTGGCGCCATCAGCCTGTCCAAGGCGACCATTAAGGTGCGTATTTAATATGTGTGTATATATATATATTTATATATTTGGGGTCAGACCCGCAAGTGCTTTTAATTGAACTTATCAAATGGGTAATGGGTGCGAGTGAGTGTGCGCATATCCCATGAACCCTCGTCGTCGTCGTCGTCGCCTGCGCCGCAATCAATGCAGCGCAATCAATTAACGTCGACTGTCGCCAGCAAATGGTGGTTGGCCCCACACACACACACACACACACACACACAGACACATACAAACCAAACTGAAGTCATCAATGTAAGTGAAAGAGGGCCTGCCCCGCCCGTGACACTTGTTTCGACATTTATGGCACTCGTTAATTTTTGTTTAGAAGGGGCTGCGTGCCTTCTCTATAGCCTATTGGCATTATCTATTTATACTGCAAACAATGATTCATTGTACGTTAACTCCCACCGCAGGCACACGAATCCGATGAGCTGCGTTTCGATGTGGTCGTCAACAATCTGAACAACTGGTGCCTGCGCGCCGAGACCAGCGAGGATCGCATGCATTGGGTGGAAGTGCTGCAGCTGTATAAGGAGGGCACGGGCAGCACGGACACCACATCGTTGCGTCGCCATGGCAGCACCATGTCGCTGCAGTCGAACACCATATCGCTGGCCAGCGGCGGCAGCTTAAAGAAAACCCAACGCAATTTGCGTGAAAAGGTTGGCGAACTGGAAACCTTTAAGGACATACTGTTCGTTCAGATTGAGACGCTGCAGCGTTATTTCGATGCCTGCTCCGAGCTGAATAAGGCCAATGCACAGCCGCTCGATTTGGGCGACGGCCTCAAGCCCATTGATTTCAAGGTGTGTGCAATAATTCCCAAGAATTTCTCTATATATATATATTTGTTGTTGCTGGCAGGGCGAGTCCATTACATTTCGTGCCACAACATCCGGAGTGCTTAGCACATTGCAGCATTGCCTGGAAATCATAGCAGAGAATGATGAGTCATGGAAACGCAAATTGGAGCGCGAAATTGATAAGCGACGTCGCGCCGAGGAGCAAAATAGGTAGATCTCTTGACCTTGACCCTCTCAGCTAAAATAATGTTACGAATTTTGTTTGTTTGCAGAAAGTTCAAGGAGGAAATTGAGAAGCTAAAACGTTTATCGTATCCCGGCCCAGATTTTGAGGTAAGTTGCACAACACAATCCCAATAGCACAGCGCGTGCTCAGGGTCAATTTGTATAAAAGAGCCCAAAGCAGATTGTAAATATAAACAATGGTGCGACGTCGAAACGCGTCGGCGTTCGACACTTGCAACACGCCCAGCCACACTCAAGAGCGGCCACCAGACCCCCCTCCGCGCAACCAGTTTCTGTACAAAAATAAAACTCTTGGGTATTTGTTGATTGTTGATTATATTACAATTTAAGCAAACGCACCAAGTGTTGCACATGCTGTACAATTATTATACCCTGTATGCGTGCAGAAAAGGGTGTATTGGTTTTGTGCAAGTGTCCGTTTGTCTGTCTGTTAGTGTAAAGGCGCCGAAACTATGAGAATTGGAGATTGTATTCTTCATTATCAGCTGAACGAGAATATCTTCCATTTGAAAGACAACTTTTCGAGGATAACTCGTAGATTATGAAGACTAGAGACAACAAACTTGGTAGTTAGGTTATCGTATAGTATATTCATATCAAAATGAAGACTCTTATTAAAAAACCACCTCCCTTCCTCGAGATATATGTATATATATTATATTTAAAGTGAAAGCCTTGCGCTTTTGGTATTTACACACATTTGGTCGCCTTTATTAAGCAGAGATTCTTTCATCAATATCAGACTATGAACAACGGAGTTATTACAGGGTATCTCCTAGTCGAGCACTGTCAACTACAGCAGTCAGTTGTTTACACATTTTGGTAAATTTATATGGCATGCGCTATAAGTATAAAGTCTATACTATATAGTGCATATTAAATGCGGAAACTATATTTAGATAATTATAATTGTAGTTGGGTTTATTTGTGCTTTGATTCCATGTCATGTCTGTGATTCTTATCCACATTAATTGACTGTTCCTTGTGTTTACATGCGCAGTTCTTTAATTGACTTTGGCTTTTAACTATTCATAGCTCTTTTTGTCATGGCTTAGCGCAATATTTGAATGGGAATTAAATAAGGCTATCTCAATTTTGTTTGTCTCTGGCATTTCCTATACATATGTCAACTTTAATGCTCCACTTGCTGGGCTTCTTTGCATTAGCTTCTTTATATTGATTGTCTCGCCAGTTCATTCACTTGCTGACAGCTCAAGCGCAAAATAACGAATCAATGGCGACATTTAGAGTCAACGCAAAGACAGTTTGAGGTTTCTTAAGTACTTTGAGCTCATATTGCAGTAGGTCATGTATGGCTTTGGCTAGAGCCTATAAACCTATGCCCTAACTTGAAGCGAGCACATTTGCTAGCTGCAAGCTTGTGAGCCATAAGTATTTATAGATAATTATATTGAATACTCTTTGAAGTGTTTATATGCAAACGCTTTATTTCTGATTGTTCCTATTATATATATAGATACATGATTTCAAGGCGAACCATAGAAAACTATTTATTTTCCTTTACTTAAAACAGACGAAAGTCAAGGAAATGAAATTAGTGTTAAATTCTTTAAAAATCTTCTTTAAATTCTAGTAGACTAGCTAAATACCCTACGTTCCTATCGGATGTTTAAAAAAATGGCTTCAAGGCGAATCATGTGAAAATATAGTTATTTTCCTGATCTGAAAACAGAAAAATAGTTTCATACGAAAGTCAAGGAAAAGGAATATATGCGAAATTCTTAAATAATCATTTTTAAATCCTAGTAGACTAGCTAAATACCCTACGCTCCTATCTGATATGTAAAGAAATAGCTTCAAGGCGAATCATGTGAAAATTGAATTATTTCAAACGAAAGTCAAGGAAATGGAAGTTTTTATTATTGTTAAATAATCAAAATTCAATCTTAGTACACTTGCTAAATACCCTACGTTGCCAGCTTGCAATACTTATCTAGCTGTATATATTTGATATACATTTTTGTTTGTTTAGAGCATAAAGAGTTCGCATTGCGTATTGTTAACAAAGGCAGCTGTTGTCGTTAGCCTGGCTTTAATGTGCAGCTTGGGCTTGGCCCAGCTTATGGCCCGTTGTTGTCGGCTTGGTTTGGTCAGTCGTTGGCCAGCGATCGGTTTGCGCACACATCAAATTCATAAACAAATTGACGCGAAAAAAAAAGCAAAAGCAAAACAAAAACAAAATAAACAAAAACCAAGTCCATTTGTAACCAAGCATAATTTGGCTAGTTGTGAAATTGTTGGGCCATATCATAAAACGCTTTACATTTAGCTGGCGCGTCACGTGCGCACCTGGCCAAAAAATAAACTTGATACAAGCAGAGCAGGAAAATCCCAAAAAAAAAAATAACAACAAAAATGCCTGCGTTGCGATTTCAATGGCGTTGCGGCTTCAAGCTTCAGCATGGGCAGAGAAATGCGGTAGGTGTGTGCGTGTGAGTATGTGTGGCAGAGAGAGAGAGAGCAAGGGAGAGACAGTGAGAGTGTGTATGTGTGTGTGAGTGGAGAGCGTGTGAGTGTGACCGAGCGAGAGCGAGCCTGTATTAATCCAGGCAAACTGCCCATACATTGATTTATGATTTAAGCGCGTGTAATCCCTTTGAAGCTTTAAGCTTTCACACTGTTGCGCGCTTAAGCTCTCCCTCTCTCTCTCTGCTACTCTCTCTCGCATTGTGATGCTGTTGGTTGTTTTTTTTTTTGTTGCCCGCACACAGCAACAGTTTGTTTTGCGCTCTTGCGCCTGACGGAAGGACTGCGCTTGGACTGCGTGTCGCTTGCGGCTGACCTCTGCACCCCGCGCACCCTCCCTCGCTCCCTCGCCTGCCTTTTCCTGCTAGCGTTAAAGTTTTGTTTGCAATTTGCTGGTGTCTGCCTTTAGGCGTTCCACGGACGCCAAGTCGAGCCTGGTAAGCTACGTTAACCCGGGCAGTGCGTGGCTCTTAGACAAGTGGATGCCACGACATGACTTCATCGGCCCAAAAACTTGGCCCACATTTGGTCCTAGGTGTTTGTATGAGTGTTGAGCGCGTGGCGTGTTTTCTTTCGTGACACGAACGCGTGCTCGTGTTGGGGAATTTAAATTTCGTGCGTGTTTGTGTGTTGAGCGTGTCAGAAAAATTGCGGATAAAGACAAATAAAAATAATTTAATTAGAAAAAATATTACTTGTATTAAAAATGAAAATAAGTTTTAAGTTTTATTAAAGCATTTACATTATATTAGTTGTAAGTGTTCTAAAATATCTCTAGTCTGTTTCCCAATTGTGACTCGTGTTTGCATCGTGTTCCGTAGCATAAAATCGACACGCGCCCATCTCTAAATTGTTTCCACATTTGCGTGCTTGCCAATTGTGCCTCGTGTTCGGTTCGTGTCTGGTTGTTTATAAAATGCGTCACGCGATCATCTCTAGCTAAGATTCACTCGTTATTTCGCTGCAGCTGCTCGTCCAGGCTGTTCCGCATTAATTAAATTTAGCAAAAAAAAAATATTCCTAGTTTTTGAATGGACATCCACGCGCGCTGGCCATAGAATCGTTGCTAGCACTGGCTCCAGACGGCATCGCTTTAATATTCATGGCACAATGGCGTGTCTTGGGCGTATGATATGGATATCTATTATGCTCGGGCAATTACGCATGCCGGCACTGTCTACAGTTGGGATTTGTCTTTGGCATTTAATTTATACGCGGCACGTTTCGCATTTCTTTCGGTGCTGGGCATTAAAATCAATTAGACCGAACCCTAATCAACTTGAGTTAGTTCAACTAATGCTGGCGTATTTTCTGAATAGGAGGGTCCACATTCCACATTGCCCGAGGATGAGTTCTTTGATGCGGTTGAGACGGGCCTGGAGAAAATCGAGGAGGACATGCAGATGCGCTTCAAACTGAGACTACAATCGCAAATCTCACAGACGCTGGTCAATGTGCCGCACGAGGCCGTTGCCGAGGGCGAGGAGGCGCGCGAAGAGTTTGGCACCGGCGCCGAGGCCAAAAGTCACGCCCTCTGGCCGGAGGTGAGCCGGAAATTGTCCATCAAAAATGTTCACTAATTGGATTTATGTCCCATACACAGATTGATCGCGTTTGCAAGGAGCAGCTGCATTATGCGCGCGAGGGCGTCGGCCAGGATGGCAATGGCTGGCAAATCTTTGCCGACGAGGGTGAAATCAAAATGTACAAACGCGAGGTGGAGCTGAATGGCATGGTCATGGATCCGCTGAAGGCCTATCACTCAGTCAAGGGCGTGACAGCGCGTGAAATGTGCCATTATTTCTTTATGCCCGAGTTCCGCAACGATTGGGAGAGTGAGTCCAGCTATTATATTCCCCAGCTAAAGCTCTAACATGTCGCACTTGCAGCCACGCTGGAGGATTGCACAATATTGGAGAAAATCTCAGCGGACACCTTGCTCTTTCTGCAAACCCACAAACGCATTTGGCCAGCCAGCCAGCGGGATGCACAATTCTGGTCGCATATGCGCAAAATCAACGATGGCCTCGAGCCGGGCACACGGGACATGTGGGTCGTGTGCAATAACTCAACGGAATATGCCAAACAGGAGGTGCGTCTGCGCTGCAGCTTCTATTAAACATAAAACAATTTATCTTAATCTTGAATCTATCACAGTCCAAGAATGGCAAATGCGTGCGCATCTTTCTGACGGTCATACTCGCCTGCCAAACACATCTGCCCGACGATTATGTCAAGGGCCAGCCGCTGAGCCGTGATGATCTAACCTGCAAAGTAACCTACTGCTCTGTGGGTGCGTATATATTCCAATCCGACAATTACCTGACCAACTTCAACGTTGACTGCATTCTTCAAAGAGATCAAACACAGGAATGGGGCTTGACAAAAAACTAATAGAAAGATTCTAAGAACTGACTGACTGATTGTTGATCTAAGCTCAGACCAAACGATAGAAGCAGATTCCTTAGGAAATTTCCACTCACAAACGTGGAAAATTGGCGAATAAGTTGGCATGAGACTCCTTGGCTTAATATCTGATCGGGTTCTAACTAATTTTCAAGGGTCTTTGCACAAATTTAGACGTGTTTTGTTTTGTGTTTCTCAGTGCGTGTTAAATGTGTGCTGTGTTTAGTGTTCCTCCGATTGTTATCAAACTAATTGAAAATATTGGAAAATATGTGGATTACAACTGCTTATTTGTCAGTGTAAAATGCCATTTGAAAGGTGACTTTCCACTTGAGGAGAACTTGAGCAGCTGCGAGGAAATTGGACAAACTTGAACTGGACAAAGCGGACGAATACACTGTTGCATTTTTATTGATAACGATTTTGTACTTTTAGTCAATCCCGGCGGCTGGGCACCCGCCAGCGCCTTACGGGCTGTTTATAAGCGTGAATATCCAAAGTTTCTGAAACGCTTCACCGGCTATGTGATAGACCAGTGCAAGGATAAGCCGATAATGTTCTGATATTTGCCATAAGCAACAAAGCAATCAAAATCAATCAAAACAAAAACAAAAAAACAAAAAATTGCAAGCAAATGAAAACAAAAAAAAAAGAAAAAAACAAAGAAAATGTTATTCGTATTATGTTTCTAATTAGCTTAACGTTTAAGTCTTAAGATGCCGTTGAACTTACAAAGTGGCTAAACTCTTAAATCTTTTGCCCTTTTTTTATACACACACCTAAACGTAGTGTAAGCGCATATTGAACCGCAACCCCGTCATGCCCTGCGCTCACTATTAACTTGTAAATGTGCTTTAGCTAGTTTTGTTCATTCTGTAAACCAATCGCCGTTTAGTCCTAAGTTATTGGTAAGCGAAAAAACAAAAACACAAACAATCATTGTATAGCGCTCAGCTGTTTGGAATTTGTATTTGGATTTGTATTTGTTGTTGATCTGCAACAATATTATTATTAACTATGAAATGCTTTAAATGCAACAATTGCAAGGAATTTTAAATATTTGTTTGTATTGTTGTAGCTTATGGCGGCATATTATATTTTATAAGCTCAGCTCCAATTTCGATATGCCTGAATCTATATGCCTTTTGTTTTTATTTTCAATCAAACAAACAACCAACACTATGTCGAATGTAAATAAATGCGATCTTTTGTTATTCTCGAGATTTGTGCACTGCAGCAAAGTAAAAGCTCAAGTGTTTTTTACTACCCCAATATGGGCTAGCTTAAGTATTACTCGGTTTATTGAAATCCGATCCGAAAAAGATAAGATTGTTTGGATTCGTAGAACTCCTTAGAAGAGATTGCAATCAAAAGTTTAACCCTACGATTTTTCAACAACTTTAAATGTCCATAACTCGGGTAAATAATGTCCGATAATGGCGAGATATGGCATTTTGGACTCGTGAAACTCCGTAGAATAGATTGCAATCAAAAGTTGTTGAATTCAGGAAAAAACCCATTTTAAGAAAAATTGTGATGTTACCCCTTGCCAATTTTGTGAAATCTCGAAAAATTTTAGATTTCGATTTTTTGATGTCAATCGATTGTCTGCATCTGCGCGAGTAACTCCAGGTATTCCGATCGAAATCGGATGTTATTTAGCCGAGATATTCGAATTTTAAGATTTTTCAAAAACTTCAAATGCCCATAACTCGGGTAATTTATGTCCGATAATGGCGAGATATGTCATTTCAGACTCGTGAAACTCCGTAGAATAGATTGCAATCAAAAGTTTTTGAATTCAGAAAAAATCCCATTTTAAGAAAAATTGTGATGTTACCCCTTGCCAATTTTGTGAAATCTCGAAAAATTTTAGATTTCGATTTTTTGATGTCAATCGATTCTCTTCATCTGCGCGAGTAACTCCAGGTATTCCGATCGAAATCGGATGTTATTTAGCCGAGATATTCGAATTAGAAGATTTTTCAAAAACTTGAAATGCCCATAACTCGGTTATTTGAAGTTCGAATAGTATTAGAAGTAAAAGTTCAAGTGTTTTTGTCTTTATCATATCATGTCATGTATTTAGACCACAATTATAGAATTGTACATTAACTGTGCTTGATTTTTGTTTTTTTTATAATAGGTATTTTCCATATGTTTGTTGAATTTTACAATTTTCTCAGGCATTTTTCTTGTTTGCTCTTTTCAAATTTGTACAACCAAGTATTGTTGATACATTTATTTAGTTGTTCTCAGAAATTTTAAATGCCTAAATCTGTGTTTCTTCTCCTTCTTCTTCTTCTTATGGTGCAGTCTGAAATGTTGCATTGCCTAGAAAGTAACTCCAACAGAGATTGTTCGGTAGTTAATAATGCTTGATGGAACAAGCTCTCTGTGACTGAGTTTTATATATCTAATTATTTATGATTATTATTTTGTTGTGGTTTTTTTTTTAAATGGTATTACGTTATGTATTGTTTGTTGTGGATCATATTGTCATGTAAATTGTTTGGTTTGTCGCTTTTGGCTATTGTAAAATATATATAATCAGATGCATGCGCTTGTCTATATAGTACAGCAGCAATGTCTGTGTGTGTGTGTATGTGTGTTCTATAATTTGGCAAACAAGAATCGGCGCTATATATAGACTTATACAGTTTATTGTTTAGCTTGAGCTGCTGCTAGAGTTCGGTTTACTTTTTTGTTTATGAAAATGCATGCTGGCTTACGACTTTGGCTTTCTAAAGATTCCACTAATTGTATAATTAAATGTTATATGCTTAGCTATTTACAACAGTTTCATAAACTATTAGATGCATGTTAAATTAATTTCTATTCTCTTTCTTTTTTAAATAACTAGCTAACATTTGTAAATAATATTTGTTGTTTACATGCGAACTTATGCAAAAGTTTGGGTTTGCAAAATGAAAGAACAAACAATTCAACGTAATGTTCTATAATTTACTACAAATATGTATATATATATATGTGTGTGTGTGTGTGTGTGTGTGTGTGTGTGTGTGTTTTAGCACAAAGGCCTTGCTTAGTTTTCGTTTGTGTATTATTGTTTATTCCAACTATTTTAATGCTCTGCATTTGACTGGCAGCTTGAAGAGTTTCTTTGCTCAGCGAATACTCTAACTTGTGTAGTTCCTTTGGCTATGCAGGACATTTTAAATGCGGCCTGCCGCAGTTTTCGCTTAAGCTTAAACCGTTTAACATAAGTTTATAAGTTTTATCGTTTCATTTATTCTCTCTGTCCAACTAAGCATAATCAGTGTGTAAATAAGTCTTATTGTTTAGATACGTTTTTTTTTGTTGCTCAAACTTTTCGTTTTCTTTTTTTTTCTGGGTCAAATTAATTACGTTTGTTTGTTTTTTGTTGTCTGCAAAAAAACGCTCGAAAATTTGTTGTAAATTTCCGTTTTGTTGTAAATAGTTGTCAAACTTTTCAAACGGCGCACACACATCTTTTTTTTTGTTTTTATATCAATTTAGTATTTGTTTACTTTCAATATTTTAAATAGTAAGTAGCTCGTGCTTAATTTTAACAATATATTGCTAGAGAAATGCCATTTAGTTAGAAGTCGGAAGTCTGCCTTATTATGCTATATAAGGATTTGCCATATGCTGATTAATTAGATTGCATTTTACAACAAATTTGTTTGCCTCACGATTTTACAACAAATTTTACAATTATCGAATCAACTCTTCTTTTTTTTCTTGTCTTTAACACGTTTTTGCTTAGTTTTTCTTTGGGACTTTTTTTACTTTTAAAATGTATTTAGCTGTAATATTCGTAGTATATATATATATATATGCTTTAGACATTGATCTGGAATGCCTCCCGCTGCAGTTTCTGATTGGCACGCATACGTGGCGATGTCTGGGTCTTGGCTGTCTTGTCGTTGGCATCCGAGAAGCGCGCCGGTGGATTAATGTGGTCCTGATAGTTTGGTGGATAATTGGATATGCTAAACGTACAGGGTTCTAATTATGCATATAGCGACAATTACTATTGTTAGCATTTCGTTCCGACGATCCTTACCTAAACGTTGTCTCCTCATTGTGGCTCGAATAGCCGCTGGAGCTGCGCACATGCCGCTTGCCGCCGGTGCCCGGCTTGCCCGACTTGCGTGCCGCAAATGGTGGTTTCGATTTGCGTGTCATGCTGGTGGGCGTCGTTTCCGATGACGAGGAGGTCTCATCTTGTGTGTCTGCCGGAGAGTAGATAACAATGTATATTTTTTTTGTTTGCTTGTGCCACGCTGCGTATGCGTAATATTGTTTCTTGCTGCTTACCGCGTTGTGCGCGATATTTGGCCGAGTTAAGAGCGCGCGCGGACACATCATTGTCGGACTCGGAGCCGAGTGTGTCATATTCTGTAATTGGTATGTGAAGCGTTAGGATTTTCCTAACTTCGGAATCTGTTGAACCTGGATTGTCCGATTCTAAAAAGTTTAATACGATGCGATGGTTTTTTTTCGGATGAAGTTTTGAATGTGAATGTTAGTATCGAAGTTGAAGAAAAAATATATATGTAAATCAAGCATATATAAATCATGAACAGGCGCATTGATATGCGGCATGATGTGTGGCAAAATAATGAGCAATAATTTTGCTTAAAGCTACAATTAATTCTCAAATGGACTGGATAAGTTTGTATATAGCATACCTTGGCTCTCGGAGTGCGGATCGCGTAGGCGGCCCACTTTTCGGCGCACCTTCGTATACTCCGGCTCCTTGGACTGAGAGGTAGAGAGAGGGAGAGTCATATTCAGCTTCAGCTTTTAGTATATTACTAGGCTCTACTCACATGATAGCTCTCTGGCTTGACATCGTGATAGACAAAGGAGCCGCGCACCGAGTGATAGGGACCGCTGTATACGTTGCCGCTGTAGGAGCTCTCGCTGTAGGTTTGCTTGTTCAGCTGGAATGTGGCATAGGGGCAAATATCCTCGATATACTCATTGCCCTCGGCCTTGCCAAAGCTGCCCGAATCGTTGGAATTGGAGCCACGCGGCGCCGAGTTGGTGGGATTACAGCGCACAGCCAAATATTGTTGATCGCGATTCTGTTTGTTCTGCAAATTGGCCAAGGAGGGCGACTCTGACATCGACGAGCTGGCCAAACGCGCCTGATTACTGAGCTCTGTGGGCAAGAGAACTGTTCATTAAAACACACCTATGATAAAATTCGGGCCAGGCCCTTCACTTACTCCGCTTGCGCAGAAACAGGGCGGCGGCAACCAGCGCCAGCAGCATCAGCAGCGAGATGCAAATGGGCAGCAACAGCTTGAAATTCGCATAGAAGGGCAGATCGCTCAGATGGGAAACGGGCGTCGAGTGATCACTATTATAGAGCACTGCAGTTGAGAGAAGAATCAAACATGATCTTAGACAGATTTAAAGAGTCTGCGACAAGAAGGTGAACATATTCTTGGACAACATTAAAGTGGAGTCAAGCCTAGTCCGTCCTGTCGATGAAATGTGCCTCTTATTTAAATTTATTTATCGATAAATGCCGTCATTTTCCCGAAAGTGATAAATATCGATAAGCAGACCGTTTTTTAACAATTCGGAGATTATAAATTTGCTATTAGGATTCCCGCATATCATATGCGAATTAAGCTAATTTTGAATTGACTTTAAATGAGTTCGTGGCCACGCTATCGATAAATATCGATTTGCAGTAGTCCGTTTGTTATAAGAGCTACGTACACCAAAATAGGCATATATTCTTTCATTTTAACTTTAAATGATCGATAACTACATTTGACACGAAAATAGGTATATAGAGTCTAATTTACTATACGGATGTCAATGTTACTTCAAATGATCGATAACTTCCTGATAACATATCGATTTGCAGCTTTGTTTTTTGGGGTTCTTTCTGCAGTTATAAGAGCTACAGACGCAAAGCCGGGAGATCGCTTATCAAATGCACACGACTTTAATTGTAATTTATCGATAAGGACTCCCGCTTTTACTAAAACCGATAAAAATCGAAATTCAGCCAGATAGAATTCTGATTTTG